TTTAAGAAAACAACAAAGTTTAGGGGATAAAATCCAATTAAGATATGAGCAAAATACTAAGTGACCGATTTATTCTGGAACACCCGTTAGTATGGTACTCATAGTTTGCTGAAGTGGAAATACATTGTAAGGTGCCGGCGAGAGATTGACCACCAACTGGCCGGCTTTTTGCTGTTTTGAGAACGTTAACGCGCCGTTTTTTGTGCCGTTAACTAGACGTTAACCGCTTTTTTGGACCTGGGTAGTAGATCAAAAGAACACTTTGATGCCATTTTGATCACATAAAGAATACTAGTTCATATCGGAAAACTTATAAGGATACATTTTGCGATGGAATTCCAAGGAAACCCACGTCACAGAAAATTCGCCGTATTTCGTCGTAATACGATCGCCGTACGTGGCCGTATACGGTCGTTTACGACCGTGTCTATTGGACCTGGGTTATTTAGTGTTTAGTAAAGGCAACAGAAACTCAATTTCTTGCATAATGCGTATTTATTCTGAAAAACTATTTTTTTAAGAATAATAAGGAAATATGCTTTTATTTCTAGTTGGAAGGTTAGCTAAAACTATTTTTTATTTTCAAGTATCTTTCTTTTGTGACAAAGAAGTATTGCTAACTGTAATTTCCCAAATCTTTATGCTTTTTTCCATGCTTTGTTGGATTGATTATACAGCTAGGGGTTAAGTGGTACAGCCGAAATACGATGTGTGACAACTAGGAGAGGAGAGGATCGAATGTCCATAAAAATCGGATTAAGACAATATTTTATCATCATGCGCTCAGTTTCTTTGCTGAAGGCTAGATACCCAGTTTAACGTGAATTCTGCTAACTCTTGTGTTTATCAAACACTTATCTACTCAAACGCGTAAACGTGGCATGATATCTAAGTAGTACTCCCCAGAGAACGTACTTGTGCCCAAGTATTTGGGACAAGTATTCCGCTTGCGCAATGAAGCCGGTACTTGTATTTTTTCCAGAGCCAAAAAGAAGTCAAATTTAATATCCTAATTTTGATCTGGCAAAGCTGACTTCATACAATTCGATCTTCAGGGTTAAATCACAAAAAACGTTTTCTACGCTGAAGATCAGCCTCTAGAAACTTGGTTTTGGCACATGATTTTTAGGAAATCAAATTTACTGCATTTCATGTTCCAGACTCGAGTCTCAAAAACGCTTCCTTTAATATGAAAAAAGCCAATTGAAACTATTAAAAAAATTGTTTTCAGCAAAGGTATTTCAGTAAAATATTGATACGGGTGCCTACCTGATGGAGAGATAACACGAGGATAAACGATGGCGTCGTCGATAAAAAAGAAAACGAATATATTTCACTAAACATCTAGCGAATATCGCATCCTCTTCTTTTATTTCATCTTCTTGATCTATTCAGTCATTGATATAGCAAAAATTCATTGTTCTAGAAAAACAATCAGAAAATGGAAAGCATCGAAATTTCTGCCCAGATCTGCTGGACCATACAAAATAATTGATAATGTATCAGACCTCGTGTAGTATTTAAAGAACATAGAGACACGAAAAGAAGTTGGACGAATTTAAAAATATTATGAACGATAGAAAAAGACAAAAACAAAAACAAACAAAAAAATAGCTGGATAATTGTAACGACCGCGTTCAAAAAAATCATATGAGACTCTCCTGATCCAAAACTATGATTTCGTCAGTTTTTTCTTTACTGTTTTTGGGTTATTTCTTGCTTTTCTTACAGTCCCTCTCTTCCTTTCTTTAACTGTGAGTGTATTATTCAATGATAAATCGCGTCTCGTCACGTCAAAACTTTGGCGGTTATCCTCTTAGACGACGTTTAGAACGTCAGAATGTTTTGAAAATATGTGTTATAATTCATAACGTTTTACCCTCCCGAACAAGTGTTATTTCAACTGTTCTCCTCGTAAGTTGCATTTTGACTCTGAATGCTCGACACATTCGTATAGTTAGAACTCTTGATTGAAAGAATGAATCAAAGACTGATGTATTTTAGCATTTTGTAAAAAGAGTTAAAATAGTAAGTGACAGTCGTTAACTCGAAAGCGGCTAAGTTTGGCAATAAAATCTTGGAGTATTTCTGAAAACTAAATCATACACATGCGTAGGTGAACAACCGTTCGTTCTTTTTTAAGTTCACAGCGGGAGATCTTCGTATAGGCAAACAGATGAAATGTTTGCGTGTAAACATGAGTCAAAAAATAAAATTCATTACTCTTTTCATCATAGCGATGAGAAAGTAATACATAAGCACTTCAACAACATCTATCATACTCCTTTTACTCTGTTAAAATCATTCTTAATGACTAATCCATTAACTGATACAATTCTTCGGTGTGGAAAACATGACTTTTATCGGGTTAATCCCGCCGATACTGGTAAGTTACAAGAACTTAGTTTCAAGAATAATGATGACAAATCTATTCGAACATACTACTATCGTAAACCGTGGCAGCGTGTTAAACCAAATTCAAAGTTATACAATATGCAATATCCCAATTGTAAACAAGGAATATATTCATTACGTTCAAACTTTGTACCAACAACACCGATATTAAACCCTGTAAAAGAAGAGAAAGCAATAAATAATAAACCACAGGAAAATTTAGTACAGAGAGAACCAGGTAATCATACGATCACTAATGTACTCTTTGTACAGTAAAATATTTGTTCAACGCTCTCTTTTTCAGTTATTGACAATAGAAAAAGTGAGGATAAGCTTCTAAATCTTTTTTTTTCGATGAAAAAATTAAGTTTCTTGTTTAGTTGTGCAACCATTACCAGTGCGCTCACCTGTTCGTAATTTACCACAAGTTACTCAACGTCACGCTCAAATACAATGTGCCATTCTATCATCAAATATTCGACATGAAATTGGAATTCAGACAGATGATGATGAACCAAAAGGTCAAAGAACATTTTTAGTTACTCCTGAATATCATCGTTTAAACGTTAAACCATGGAAACAAACAAAAAATCCGTATGAAGTCTGGAATGTACCACCATCAAAATTGCCAGTCCGTAAGAAGAAATCTATTGTGGCAATTGATGAGCGTCTCATACAACCTCATTCACCACGTCGTGTAAGCCTTTATCCATCGAATAATTTTGAAACAATTGGCGATGACGATGACAATGATGAAGAACAAATTATTTATTCTCGAAAACCACAACGAAGTCCTCGAAGTCACTTACCACCGAATGTTAAAATGATCTGTATTAGACACGATCCTCATACAACATCTTACTAAAATTGTGCGAAAGAATTCTACAACAAGTAACCTTGAATAATAATAATAATAATAAATCGTAGAATTTACATTCGCAGATTGTATTATATCGACAATTTCGAATAGTAACCCAATCTTATAGAAGATTAATTTAGTAAATGCAGGTTAACATCTCAAAGGTAGATTTTATAATAACGGTTAAATATAGTCAATGATAAGAGAAGATTTTAAAAGTATTCATTTTTTCCGATAGTTAACATTCAAAATCGTACCGAGAAAATGCAAATTTTCTCAGTCTAACAATGAAATTTACCTAAAAGCAAAAAGTTTGTGATCATCGACGACCAGTTCGATGAAAAATATCATTGTAAATATGCTTGAGAATGATTGTTGGACAAAATCTAACCCACAATTTACCACCTTATTCCCTGTTTATTATTTTTAATTGAAATCATTGTTTGTTTTTGTCGGAAGATACACTAATAAAAATCTATGTGTTAAATATACAAAAAAAGTTAAAAAAATAGATTGTTGTTGAGAATTATTGCATAAAAATAGAAGGCAAAACATTAACTAACGTCAACGCACGAATATACCTACTAAGTAGAAGAAGAAGAAAAACAGATTCTTGCAAATATTGAAAAACAGATAAAAACGACGTAAGAGATCAACATACAATAGATATTAATGACTTTTCACTGTCGTAAAATGTATGCTTAGCCCTATATGTATCACAGAGATTACTGAAAAGTGACTAACTTGTACTTACTTACACCAAACTTACTGTTCTAGATTTTTTCTTTCTATCATTGAATTTGTGGTAGTCGCTTTAAGACTACTGTAGGGTCGCAGCTGCTTTACTATGCCTATAGCTAAAAGCAAAATAGACAATTAAACCAATTGCTACCACTCCCATATAAGCAAGCCAATCATGAGCATCGAGTGAAACCATTAAAAACATGTATATAGTTATACTAATCAACGGAGTTAACGGAACTCCTGGACAAACAAATAATAATGTTGAATCGTTCGTGAATACATTTTGTCTTAGTAGACAAAATAACACCAGAATAATAAAACTTATTAGTAAACATAGAACTATTAGTATTAAATGCCAATGGCGATGTAAATATGTTAACTGAAATGATATGGCTAACACTAGAATATTTGATATGAATATCAATAGTAAAATAATAGCAAGTTTTTTTGGTGAATATTGGTCGATAATCGGTACACATGGTCGCAATAAACGTCTTATTATTAATGTAAAAAATGGATATTTATCATAATCGACAGTGATTGTGTCAACATCATGATCAACATTATGATCAATATTATGATCAATATTACGATCAACATCATGATCAACACCCTGATCAACATCTTGATCAACATCTTGATCAATATTATGATCAACGTCAGTATCATTAGATGATACAAGTTGATAATGACTATCTGTCACAGGTAATATAGTACTATAACGTTCAATTAATAAACCTGCGGAAACTGTACTATACGCCAATAATGCACTAATATCCGTAAATCCAATTAAATCTTTAATATCGAAAAATGTTGCTAATAAACTGATAATGATACAACTTAGACATGCTGCTAATACGGGGACATGGCGACTTGGACTAACATACGATAATTTCGATGGGAGAAGACCATCATTTGACATTGCGTACCTAAAAAGAATATATAATACGTCATTTCATGCTATATTTAAGTAACTACTTTATGTTCTCAAGTCTCGTAAACGAGGATGCTCACAAACTCGCGAAAAAAAGATGAAATAATACGTACATAAATCGAATGACACCGTATGTTCCAGACAAAAGATTCCCGCCGGCTGATAACACAACAGCTGAACTAATAAAATATCGTGCCCATGGCCATCTACTACTACCGTAAGCGGCAGCAAATGCTGATTCGATATCTACTGATTTATAAGAGACTAAATACGTCAGTGAAGCACCAGCTAATGAATACAATATTGTGACAAATAATAAAGAAAGGAATGTGGCTCCTGGGACAGTTTTTGATGGATTTTTTGCTTCTTCAATTGCCACCGTGGCCATTTCAAATCCGATATATGAGTAGAATAATAGTGAACTTCCTTTTAACACACCAGTGAAACCATACGGACAGTACGGAGAATAATTTTGAATTGAACCTAATACAAATCCCGTTATGCTAATGAATAACAGCGCCAACATGTTGATAATTGTCAATGAATTTGTTAGCCACTTTGAGCTTTTAAGACCGATTAACATCACCAATAGTAAAAACATAGTGATGTCAAATGCTAATATATCCGGATAATGACTAAATGGTGGTTCTAATTTCGGCCAGTAGGCAATATGTGTTGTTGTAAAGTTCTTCACTTTATTATTCAGTAATGAATCAAAATATCTGCTCCATGTTCGACTAGAAACAGCTAATGATGTTATTCCACCCACAATTGATGTCCAACCAATTAGAAATGCTAACATCTCACCAATCGATTCATAAATGAAGACATATGATGAACCAGCTTTCGGTATTCGAGCAGAAAATTCGGCAAAGACCAGAGCTCCAAATAAACATGCAATAGCAGCACATAAATTGGATAATGTTATCGAAGGACCACTAAAATCTTTTGCTACAACACCGGTCAATACATAAACGCCGGAACCAATCATTCCCGATACCGACAACAATATAAGATCAAATAATGTTAAACATCGAAGTAACGGTGTACTTAAATCATTTTTCAATAAGTGTTTCTTACGAAATATTGATAAAAAAGCCATATCTAGAATTAAAATTATTATTAATAAATGAAATGTATTAGCTATCTGACGACTACTATATATTTCAAAAATAAAACGAGCTCCGTAGTATTATGGGTAACTTTTGATAGATAGATAGTGTACAGAAAAGTTCAGAAATCGATGCTAGGGTTTTCAGAAGGTCTTGGGAGAATCATTGGGTTTACACAGTAAATTCCTCTAAAAATACGCAATAGATTTTCTTACAAGATTTTAAAAAAAACGTCAGGGAAATACAGAGATCTTTTTGGACTTTGAACCACAAAAGATCTCCTCAAAATCCTAACATAAAATTTTGAATTTTTCGCGTCCGCAAGTCGTATCTACGGAATAGTCTTCTATCATTTATCTATCAGAAGTTATTCAAAATACCGTAAAGCTCGTTCTGTTTCGAAATTCATAGTTGTTTATTCTAAAAAACAATTGCAAATGCATTATGCTTTTACTTGAAAATCATTTTTATCTTTTAAAACTACACTAAATTATAAAAATATGAAACAATTTACGTAGAAGTCATTTCTTCTTGATACCCTGAAATTTTACATTTGTTTTGTTCATTTGTGAATAAGATCCATTGGTGTTGATGGGAGAACTTCGTTGATCCCAAATATCGTCATGATTTAACAATTTATAAGTCTCTTTAACAGTTGAACGAAGATCATTACGTATAAATAGAACAGGTAATAAATTCGGCAATAAACGAAATAGACTAAATGTTGCAGAATAATTTAACTCCACTGGAACAAAGATCTAAGCAAAAATATATACCAATGATCCACGTATGAAGAGTATAAAGAGAAACTTACATTTGTCGGACAGAATTGTTTTCCAGCTAGAATACTAACAATTTCTTCTGTTCCCATCATTGTGGACTTTAAAATAGTTATAACTCAACAGTGGTTCCAATACCATTAGCTAAAACTGTTTGTAACATTTTGCTTAAATATAACGTGCATTTTTTTTCAATACAATCATAGGAAACATGTGTTTTCTTCAAATAAAACTATATAAACTTTGTTGTAGTAAATTAATAACATTATTTTATGACAACGTAGCGATAGCTGTTAAATTGTCCAAAATTAATTGAAAACGTGTAATTCGATGAAGTCATTGATCCTTTCCTTCAAACAAAGATAAAATACCAAAATATTTACGATTAAACATAGTGTATAGTATTAGTTATATAGATTGCAATAGTATATAACTAACGTCTAATTGAGCGTAGTATCCAGAAAACCATTTGTTTAAAAAATAATCAATAAAGTCGATTTAATTTTTCTCTAGACAATTGTAAATCTATCTCAATTTTCATTCTCACACAGACTTACAATCGATGATCTCACAAGATCTTTAAAGAAAATCAAAAAATACAAAAAATAAAACGTTTTTCAGAATTTGAAACGATCTATTCGGCTAGCTAGTCAAAAGGTTGTTTTAAAGAATCAAGATAAACAAGTCTGTGATGGTTCTGCTGCTGATGAAATTATCCATATATTCTGTGATTCTAAGCGGAGAATTTGAGCGAACAACAGTATAGTAGCGGCTAGCGATAAATATAACGACAGGACCCCCATCAGATACAATTGTGTAATAAACTAACAGTTTCGAATCAAGATGACAACCCTTGCTGATCAATTTTGCTTTTAAAGACTTAATTTAAAGCTGGTTTATACAAAACATACTTCTGATACTGACGAGGGGACGTTCCCAACTGATAAATCGCTTTCGGGCCGAAACCTAGTGGACAATAGGTAGAATCTACAAGAAAAACCCTAATGTTTGTTGTCAGCTCAGAGATATAGAAAGACAAAGGAAAAAGGAATTTAGGGCTCTTCTTGTAAATTCTATAACTTTGCAAAAACAGGTCTTGGAGAGCTGGGATATGTCTCATTTTAATCAGAATTTCGCGCGCTACAAGGGTGATTTATTAAGAAAAGTTTCGGAGATTTTCTGGAGTTTCTGGAAAACTGGTTTTCTAAAAAGCCATCCTCTAGAGGCCTAGCAGCATGTCTCATGCTGATACTCGGAATTAGCATGGTCGACTACCTATAATCTACTAGATTTCGGCCCGAAAGCGATTTATCAGTTGGGAATGCTCCCTCATAAATGAGAAAATTCTAAGACAGATTTCTATTCATACCGGGTAATATTAAAAGAATCAGCCATAATATTAGAATATAATTTAAATTTGAACGGCATAGTACCTTTAATGTGATTATCTTGATGAAATACAAAAAAAAATGTCTACTTAGATTGAGGAGTATATAGCCCTACAAAAGTAATTGTAGTGCGACACAGACATGCCATTCAGTGTTAGTGATCTACGGCATGCTATGCGTAGATCACTAGCACCTACGGAAAGCTTTTTTGCAGGATGCTCGTAACATATACTATATACAGTATATAGCACCAGAGCACAACTAGTGCTGATTCAATTTTTTTCTTGCAAGATAATTTTTCATTTTAACATGATCACTCTCCAAGTGATTCTTTTTTTAAAATTTTTTCCCACATGATCACTCTCTCCAGATGTATTTTATATTTAATGTTTTTCACGCCTCACATATGTACACAAGGCCACTGTCTGAATCTGCCCTCTGTCTTAATAGTGAAAGTTGTATTTCTGAAACATTGTATTACACGTCTTTAATCTATTTTGATTGACGTGACTTTTAAAATAGCTCTCGTTACGTTGTTATTCATACTTAAATTATTATCCCTGAACAAATTTAATGTGACAAATAAAAAATGCTTCTGTTACTTACTTACCGTGTATTGACTAATGTATCAATTGTATTTTTGACCCTTTTTTCCAATTCTCATTTCTTCAATTTTGAGTTAAAAATATGAATTTTTTTTATTGTCCAACTATTTTTTCTGGTTATTATAACACTATTCCATTGTTCATTTCAAAATTAAAAATGATGATGTAAGACTTAATAATTTTCTTCTAGATCACATATCTAAGGAGAAAACGTTTTACTTTTACTTTTGAGAGAAAAAATATTTAGACCACTGCGCCATATCAACGATGTTTGAACAATACACACTCACAGTAATCATGAGATCTACGATGAATTTTATTAAATAATATAAAATGCGTGCAGACATAAAAATATGTCAGGATACACTCGTCAGGATAACATCATTCTACTCAATCTGTGTTCTACTATTAAAAAAAAGTAAAAATCAAGCTGGTTTAATGTGATGATGACTTTCAAGTTAAATATAAAATACACAAAAAAAAAAATAAAACAACCACAGAAACAGTTTCATCAAATTAAATAAACGAGATTCAAACATGAGAAAAAGAAAAACATGTAATTGGAATATACAATTCAAAATACTGAAACCATTTAAGCAGAAGTCTAAATGCCAGTTTGCTGAAAAAAAGTGTATAATTTATTTACTCTTAAAAGCAGACAAACGTTGAAATCAGAAAAAAATGCAAGAAAAAATGTAAATTTTAAAAGAAAACAACGATTTGTGTATGAAACTCATACTCTTATACAGATCTAATCGAGAAATATAAATATAAGACTACAGCAACACAATAATGCAATCATAATAACAGGGAGAGCAAATTAGAGTGAAACAGAAAAACACTTGTTCAAATATAAAACAAAATATTTTTTTCATACAAAAAATACAATAATAATACAATTAAATAAAAATATACATACAAAGACGAAATAAAATACATAGAATCAAAAGTAGAACAGAGAAAACGAAAACAAACAAAGAGTGACATCATTGGTGTTTAAAAAGAAAACATACACAAATACTTGCTACGTCAATAAACGGCTTTCATCACAGAGCGAAAATTTGGTCAAATTTTAAAAGAAAATAAAAGTTATTTTTTATAAAAATAAACTAGAATAGAAGAGAGAAACGTCAATAAGTATACGACCGTCAAACTGGTGAATAGCAAAAATGAAAAACATTTTTTAAGATAAAAATCAAATATGTCAAGATTGTGGCACTGTTCGATACTGTTCAAATTCTAACTGGCTTTCGTTGTCATCACCACTTTCTTGTACTATTGAACCGATATCTACCACCGTTTTTCCATTATTATTTACGGACATTAAACTCTTTAATACATGATTATTATTATTTGAATTCATATTAACTTCATCTTCATTATTCAAATGTTGATAATTATAATTCAAACTATTTTTATAACGTCGTTTTAATACACACCAAACAATTGTAGTTTGTAACAGTAAAAATACCAAAATAAGTAAAAATTGCCAAACAAATGTTACAGTTATGATTAATATTTGACCATGAGTAGCTGTCCATTTCCAACTTGGAGAATCAGTCGGTGGATACAAGATAAAGCCAGCTTCATAAAACCATGTACCTTAAAAATAGAAAAATTTTCAGTTTATATTGCACTAATACTTTTTCTTTCTCACCTTGTAAAAAAGTAGCTGCAATTCTGGTGTAAGTGGCTAATATTTGATTTGGTCTACAATATTCCCATATACTAGCCAATACACACATACTAATGGAATAAACTAACAATGTATGAACATGAATATCAATTTCATCTCGGCCATGTAAATGAAATTTAAATAAAAAACCTTCGATAGCATAGGCAAGTATGTTTGTGACATATTCAATACCCGCAGGTAAATCATATTGTTTTGAATGTACCAAAATTTCAAAAAATGAAGCAAAACCAAATGAAAAAAACATTGTTATATGTTGAGCATTCACTTCAATAAATGACCATCGATATTTTTGTAATACTTCATCATAAGGATGTTTCAGACCCGTTACAGCTTCACCCAAAATACCAATTGAAACACAAAGTAATTTTAAATAAGATTCTAACGGTATTCGTTGTAAATAAGCTGTTGGACAACAAAAGCAAGAAAATGTCGTTGATGAATGATATTTCGATGGTTTTTTTGCCGGATGACGCAAATGAAAATATTTTACAGCTAATGCAAAGCCCCACCAAATTGCAAAGATAATGAAAAATGTGCCCCTAAAAAAATAATTGCCCAGTTTTAACTACTAACGCCATTACAGAAAGACTGGGTAGCGAATGCAGTCCTAAGATCGAAACTACTTTTATCGAATGGACAATTTGGTCAATACGTACGGCAAAATATGACCCAATAATGTTCCCATGATTATTTTTTAATTGATTGAAATGATGAAAATAAAAATAATAATTTGTTTATAATCAGGATAGTTGATTAAAATGGGTTTTTTTCACATATCTAAAACAAAAAGAATATTAGTCAAACTAGAAGAAAAAACAGTCACTGATTGATAACCTGATATTAGTAACCAGGATTATGTCTATCATAAACAAAAATTGAAAAACAGACAGACGAGTAAACTCAATTTCTACACTATTATACAACGTTTCTGAAGGTTTAAACATAAAAATCATCCATTGAAAATAAACGCTATTTTTCTATCTTTTGAAATTTTGAATGAGCCAACAAAAAATAACTAAAAGAGAAACAAATAACAATTGAGCATGAATTTTTAGAAACCTAACGCTAGAAATTGATAGAAAAACCTTTAGATATGTTCTGAATTGTTTCTATCCAAATTATATTTTGTAATCAATGACAACTGATGGTTGTGTTCGACAAGAACAATGATCAGAGACAAATGTATTTATAAAGATTGTTTCATCCAAACTGATATTTGAAATAAAAAGCGGACTATCGTAGCCGAATTGTTGCACGTTTAACCGTTCATCATCGCTAATATGCTATACTTAGTTCTTTCTACAGAAGACATAAGGCATCTGCCACATATTTACGTATTATTATTCACGAAAAGTGGGAGTCATCAAAGGTCCTCGATCTGTAATAACAATGACTCAAGTCAATTAAAAGAGTAACAACAATTAGACAAAAGAAAACTGATAGAGATATAAACTTTATTTAGTATGATGTTGTTGACGCTTTGATGAACAAATGTAGCTCTTCGTTTTCTAAAAGCAAATATTTTTCAATCTAAAATCCCCCTCACAACTGGTAATATAAAAAATAAAATATAAAATAAAATATGTGTGCAGTAACTAATATAACTCATTCTGAATAAATATAAATGTAAAAAGAATCACGATTGATTCAATATGTTGTTTCAAGTCAATGAACTGAACCACTAGTAGCAAAAGACAAGTTGGGCTAGCAACCAAAAATTTTATTTTCATTAAATCGCTACAGCGCTGCAGATTTGTTCTAAATGCACAGAACATGCAATATTCTCTTCCACTTCTTAAAAGACCAGAAGTATAAGTTAGCTTCAACAAAGAGAGCGCTCGTCAGAGTTTTTATTGGTTGACGTTTTTCTTTCTTCCACTGGTCAAAATAAGTGACACGCTAAAGTGAGCGGAAAATTCTATTATTATATTAATAATAATACGTTTTTACGTTGATTGTAGAGTCTTCCACTTTACTTTAGTATCTAACTTATCTCAATTTTTTCCATTTACCCAAGCATGTATCAAAGTGCAAAACCGCATCGAATGCGGTCTCATAAATCTGCCTATTTTTTCATTTCGAATCTGATGTAGAATATTTACATCCAATATTAGTGAATCAGATTAAAGAAACCGAAAGGAAAAAACATACATTTTTTGTTAAAAAATACAGGAAATAAATTGGTTAAAGCCACAAAAAATTCAGATTAGTATGATGTATGCTTCTTGATGCTGCTTCTTTGAAACAAGTGATACTTATTGTTTGTAAGTTTTAAGTATTTATTACAAGCATTTTTAATGTGTAACCTACTGAAATTATTATTTAGGTTTTATTTAAGTATTGAAATAATGTTCATTAACCTTGATTTTATTCATTTCATGCCCTAATGAGTGGTCCAAATTAAATTGCCCGTTTTTGATAGGCTTTTTTCTCAAGTTAGACTCGATCAAAAAGTTTGGTTCTGACGCTAAAAGATAGAGAATTTTGCGTATATTTTATTGATATGTTCTTTTTTAAATAAGCATGTACTGTTCTTTTGTAGCATTAAAAGTATTGGATGCTGCAAAAATATCACTTGGCCAACTACGAAATCGGAAATGTGTAAAAATCAATTTTACCCAGCTAGATTGAGTTCAAAAATTTCTTTCTTGTAGTAAGAGATGTAGAATTTTTCGGTGTATCTCGTGGTGTGCTACGTTTGATAAGCTTAGTTCTCTTTTGAAAACTACAAAACATTAAAAAGAAGTTCACGGGCCACGGCATCCTACGTTTCTTTAGCAATTTTCTCACAACTTGGTTTTACAAAAATTACCCTTTTTATGTAAACAGATGCAGAATTTAAAGCTCTACAGTATGCTCTTCTTTATAGAAGGCTGACGTCTTTTCTAACCGAATGACGAAGTTCAAATATTTTCATGGGCATGAAAGTGCGCCAAAAATAGATAATAGGCATATTTTGTAGGCGATTTTCAATATAGTAAAACTCAATCCGAAAATTTGGTTTTGTGTTTCAAAAAAAATATGTTTCTGTGCTTTTTCATAGTGTGTTTGAATAGCGCATAAAAAATTATTTAGCAAATAAAAATGATATTTTATTTCAGTCAAATGTTGAGTAAATGATATTTTTGTGGCATCCAATACTTTTAATGCTACAAAAGAGTGGTACATGCTTATTTAAAAAAGAACATATCAATAAAATATACGCAAAATTCTCCATCTTTTAGCATCAGAACCAAACTTTTTGATCGAGTCAAAAAGCCTATCAAAAACGGGCAATTTAAACTGCGTTATATGAGCTTTCTCGGATTTCGTGGGCTGATGACAAACACACAGTGAGAAATTAACTATGATTTTTTTCATACTTTCATCTTTGTCCGTATTATCATCATACTACATTAAGTAACTGTTTATTTTCATCCTGAACAGAAATCTGTTCATGTCCAATCTTTAATTGTACGAAACAAATGGCAGAAAATATGTGCGCCTAAAATCAAAAAATAAGTACAACTAATCATAAAGATTGTGCCATATTGGTGCGTACATCGATTTAAGATTCTACTTACTCGTACGATTTATTAACTAATAGTATGCTATTCGATAGAGAACTGAAGCCGGTCCGGTAAATCGGTACCGGTTGAAAAAGTCAACCGGGCCGGTAGAGACCGATATTTCACCGGTTGAAACTTTTGAAACATATGCTCTTTTTACCCTGTTTTTCGTCCGAAAACTAAAATTTCATGTCTTTTTCAGTCAGAATAAATAAGCGATGCTCAAGATGGATATTATTTTCATCACTTGTTTTAAGGTTAAATGTTATAGACTCGTTATTGTGAAGGTTCTCTCACATGTGCAAACTATTTCATTTCGGAGGGAGAGAATCCTTTCTGAAAATCGATTTTCAAAAAACTTCGCCAGTTTTTCGCTGGTTTTTCACCGGTTTGAGGTATAATTCCAACCGATCGGACCGGTTCACCAGTTCCAGCTCTGATCCGATGAAAAAAATAAACTTACTTCGTGCACTCTTTCTTTTTTTTAGCAGCGTAAACTCATTGGATGAAATTTTTGAATTCAAACAAAAAGAAAATAAGATTGTTTATTTCTATGTTCATTTATTTCGGATAAACTACGATTATTAAGATATTTACTATTTTACACTATAGAAGATATCTAACACTGAATACCTCGTTAATTATAGCTTGTCCGAGAAAATAACAAAAAGAAATGAAGTTCCATCTTGGTTCTTGTTGAAATTCAAAACGAATTCAGACTGCGAAAGATCTTTTTATCGGCGCGGGTGCGCACTGATGTCTAGAAAGGATCAATTGAAAAATAAATAGCACCGATACCAAATCATCAGTTTTGTTGTGCCAACGCTAATATTTCCGTAACAGCTTTGGGTCGGAGAACTCGGAATATATATTTTGAAAGTTCCTGACATCAGGTGTAATATGAATTAGAAAAAAATTTTCAATAATGGGTTATTGATCGAGTTTCAGTGTATGTGTGTATTGTTCAGTACAGATAGAACACTAAATTTATTCTTAGAGAGTGTAAGTTATGGTCTGTACTTCAAAACTTTCTCAGAAAATATTATTCATCTTTTAGATATTGACTATTCATAACTGTAATAGGTCAAATGCGTTTTATGTTGCACTACGTGTTTTTTATTTGATAGTTTTGTTAATAAAAGGTCGGTTTATAGAAAGATAGAATGATCATATGATCTTACACAAAAGAAAAAATTCCTAATCTAAAGGCAAACACGCCTTTAGAATAATTTTTCTTGTCAATGTTTCCAATTAAATAAATATGACAACTGACTGTCTACGCAGAAATATTTTGGAATTTGAGTAGAAGTCATTCGTACTTCAATTTTGTCTACGCTGGGATTTTTCTTTGGGAAATGAGGAATAAGGTTATTGCTAAGAGACGAACCTAGCATTCAATACCTCATCATTTAAAGGAATGGAATAGAATATTCGCCATGTGAATATCGGTTTAGTGTACGTATGCACTAGTTATATAACTGATATTGGAGCATCTAGGCAAATTTTTATAATGCGGTTATCAAGAATCGCTCAGATCTGCAGAACGTCTCATTTTGTAGACAGATGTTTGTTCTATGCATTTATACGGAAGATAAAATTAAAGATTGAAAAAGAGAAGAGAATTTTTAACGAATCACTGAAGAGACACGAACAGTTATATAACTGGTGACCAGTTATCGCGTACAGTTATGGCATTTAAGAATGCTCATATTTTGTTACAATTGACTTTAAGCTTTTTTCATTTCAACAATTGCATAGAACAAACATTTGTCTACAAAATGAGACGTTCTGCAAGTCTGAGCAATTCTTAATAACCGTATTATACAAATTTTTCTTGATGCTCCAATACCAGTTATATAATAGGTGCATGTCTAACTTAGTGCAAGATTGTTCCTGATTATCGAAAAGAATTGCGTAGAACCTGTCAATAAATTCATTCGAATTCGAGAGCTAGTTTTAATTGTTTGCGAAAAGCGTGAGGTGCGATTACTGGTAAAATCTATTCAAAATATGGTGTGATGGAAAAGTACATTTCAACAACCTAACTGGTTTTAAAAGGCACACGTATTGCTGATCAATTAAGTATTCGATTCCACTATACATCACATCCATCAAAATATAATACGGACATTATCAGAGGTGTTGGCCGCGCCGCTGCCGCTGAAATTTTTTTTTGACATTTCATGCCGCCGCCATAGACGGAATTTGTTTTTGAAGTTTTTCGCTACCGCCACTGATTCGAAACTTTTTCAAAACTTCTTTGAAGAAAATTTATTGACGTGCTTGCTTTTATCAGTAGTAATGGTGGTGATGATGAAGATAAAAGTATACACGTATATTTTGTACTAATAATACGTTAAATCTTTATAAAAACAAGAAAGGTGATAAGACATCCTCGATCTCATCCGTGTTGGTTGACAGAAACGTGTACGTGAATGTGTAGCCTTTATTTTAACATAACTTTTTACACAACTTGATTCAAGTTCACACAAGATCATCTCGATATGACCTATGTTAATCACGGGATATACGATGACATATATGTCATTTATATGTATTATTATCCAAGGGCTAACCGTAAAGTACAACTGATAATGCACTGCACTAAAAGCGTCTGTTTGGCTATATATGAGTGTGAGATAATTGTTATTGTTATTTGTTTGTTTTTATTTATGGTGGATTATTTACATAAGATGTGAAAAACAATAGAAAAAATGATCATTACATACGTTGAACATAACAGTCACTAGATATTCATTGTTTGCCATTTAGGAGTATTTTCATTGCTAAATATGATAATTATCATATAATATTTTAATGGAAAAAAGTTGGATTACTAAAGTATATGCCTCGTCGAATCAAGTTGGGATTGCACTATTCTCTACCTGTTTATCTGATAATAATTTTCATAAAATAGGGATTCTTCTCGTTTAACAGAATGAATTGTTTTATCCACCACGCTACGTCAAAAAAAAAAATAGCTGTCGATAAAGTTATAGATTACTTTCCCAAGGTGTAAATGTATACACATGTTACAGATAAAAACTCTAATTGAGTCAAATTAAAGTTGATTTTGAATTTGTATACATATTATGTGAATGTTGATATAGAATCCTGTGAAAATTAAAATTTCAAGTAATATACTCAAAAAAAGTGAAACATATGTATAAATTTTATGTTTGAATTGAAATAGTGAACTAAGCAAATAAAAATGTTATTTCTTTTGCTGTTGTTTCGTTTATGTTTTCTTATATGAGAACATGTACATAGTATCTATTGTGTTAGCAGCCTATAAACCAGAAAATATTTTTATTATTATTGAGTTCTTAATTTTGACATGTTCAAAGATATAAATGTTAAGAATGTGGACATATACCAAAACTCTTAATCACATAATTACTTTTATTTTGTTTCTTTCTTTCTTTTAAATAATTATTTTTTCTTCGTTCAAGTTATTGCTGTAATATGTTTT